AAGATTTAAAATGGATTAAAACTGAGGGGCTGGAGAGACGGCTCAGCAGTTAAGAGCACTGGTTGCTCTTGCAGAGGACCCGGGTTCGATTCCCAGCACCCACATGGTGAAGAGCAACCATCCATAACTCCAGTTCCAGGGGATCCGATGCCCTCTTCTGACCTCCAAGAGCACTGCACACATGTGGTGCACTCAAATACATGCAGGCAGAACACTCATACACATAATAATAAAAATAAAGAACGGATTAAAAATTAGTAACAGTAATAAGGAATTAGGTTGGTAATCTATAAGTTATATAAAAATCATTGATTCCTACAGTGCGACTTGTATTAGGGTTTTCTAGAAGAGAATTATGAAGAGGGATTAGACTGGCTTACATGATTGGAGCTGGACAGCTGAACAGTGGCTGTCTGCACCCTGGAGAGGCTGAGCACATGGCAGCTGCTCAGTCTTCCAGTCTGGATGCCCCCTTCTGGTGCTGAAGCCCCTGTCTGGTGCTGAAGGCCTGGAGGCCTCCTGGAGAGCTGCTGGAATTTGGAAGGCTGCTGGAAAGTTCAAGAAGCAGGTCTCCAACATCAGTGGACAATGGCAGCAGCAGTGCCAGCAGGGCACACACCAGCGAGGAGCAGAGTCGGCAGGCGATTTTCCCTTGGACTTGCATATGCCTGGGTCACAGCTGAAAGGTGCCACCCACTCTGGGGGTGGGTCTTTCCTCTTCAGTCAATCCCTCCTGGAAAAGCCCTCACAGACCTGCCTAGAGGCTGTTTCAGTTGATTCCAGATCCAACCAAGTTGACAACTGTCACTCAAGTTCTCTTAGGGTCCCTTGCTCCTGGTGCTATTAGACAAAACATGTAAGACATCTTTATCTGAATTTTTCATAGTTTATATCCTGGGTAGGGGAAATAGAGTAGCTTACAAAGGTGAACACCCGGTGTCCCGTTCCACTCTGTGGCTCAGCGGCCTGCTGGTCCAGATCGCTTCCGTGCCCCACCCACAGTCTCCATTAGCTTTTGCCCTCGCCTCATAGGCCCAGGTCGGTAAATGCCCCCTCTTGCGTCCACTCGGTTGAGACACCGGGGCCATTTTTTCACACCGCTGCCCAGATCATGCCAATGCTCCTCCCTCCGTGGCTAACTCTCTGAAGTGTCCCCTGGGACACAATAATCAAGATGAACCATCACATAACTGTCACTAGCTATATGAGAATTATCACCTTGAATGCCAGTAGTCTACTGCCAGCCACTGGCCACTACCTCCAGCCTCCCCTTAGTTTTCGAACTAATTCCTAGTATCTGCTCAACTCTCCGAGGGCTTTCTACCTTTTTGCCTACTTGCTTTTATACCATACATAATCTAAATATTACCACTCATTAGGCTAAACTAAATGTAAGACACGCACTGGATTGACATAGATTGTTTCATCAAATCCAGCCTACCCAGATTATCTCAACAACCCCAGCCAAGTAGATAGAGTTCTACTACTATCCAATTTTATGGATGAAAAAATGCTTAAAGGGATGAGGCAAACTGGGTGTGGTGGCTCACATCGTCTATCTCAGCACTTGGAAGGTGAAACAGGCAAATCTCTAAGTTTGAGACCAGCCAAGGCTATATCGTGAGATTATGTCAGGAGAGGGGGGGGGGGAGGGGAGGGAGGGGGTTTTTTTGAGAGAGAGAGAGAGAGAGAGAGAGAGAGAGAGAGAGAGGAGAGAATATGGTTTTGTGAAATTGGGTGGATTAAGAAACACCTGGAAAGTTAGTACAGCATATCTCTGGGTGTGTATGTAAGGGCTTTTCCACAGGAGCTCTGACCTAAAAAATGGTTTGATTCATTGACATGCTCTCTAAATAGACCAGGCTGGCCTTGAACTCACAGAGATTCACCTGCCTCTGCCTCCTGAGTGCTGGGATTAAAGGCGTGGGCCACGATATTTTATTCTTGTCTTGATTATTCAATCTCCTGGCTCTTTTCTTCTGTAATGGGATCAAGGCACAAATTTATGTCACAAGTTGCACCTGAGGCTGAATTCAGGTATAACATATCAATGTGGTGGCATGTTCATCTGGTTTATCTAAGGTAAATAGACATATCACATTAAAAGATGCCATTGAACTCAAGTGAAATATTAACTTTCTTTCTTCAGTTCAGTCAAGGCTGAAATTCCCTAATCAATTCTAGATAGTCAATATCAAGTACCGTTTGGCCAATTTAATTTTCTTTTGTTTCTCTTACCTATATTTCTATTTTGTTTGCAATATTATTTTGTTTTGGTCTTTTTGAGACCGGGTCTCCCTGTAGCCCCAGCTGTCCTGGAACTCACTACATAGATCAGGCTGGCCTTGAACTCACAGAGATCCACCTGCCTCTGCCTCCCGAGTGCTGGGATTAAAGGCATGCGCCACCACGCCCGGCCAATATTAATTATTTTTAAGGTCATATTCTTTACTTCCTTTTCCTGCCTCTCTTTCCTGCACTCTTTGGATGGCCATAGTTCTTCCGAGTGTATGCCATTTCATTTATCCTTTCTGAAAATATACTTAAAATAGTCTTCATTTATTAAGTTACTGATTCATTACCATACAGTAAATCTTTTTTTAGGTGCTAGGCTGAAGATGCAATGCTAGAAATAGACAGTGGTCTACTTTGTGAAGCTTACTTTCTAGTCGAAAACATAAATAAGTAAGAATAAACAAAATTGGTTGTAAACTCTGTAATGCAGAATGTGTTGGGTACACATAGAAAGATTCCTGGGGACTAGGAGATTGGGTGGAGTATTCTAGTTTTAAGCAGATTGACGGGGAAGCTCAGTAAGTCATTTGAGCTAGGTCTGTTGGCAGCATCTGGAATCCCAACTGTTCCGCTGGTGGAGGTGGGTTGCTTGCATACAGTGCTTTGAGACTAGCTTGGGGAACAGAGGAGCTAGATTTTCTTCAAAGAAAGTGAAGACAGGGGTAGGGATATAGCTTAGTGGCAAAGCACTTGTCTAGATGTGCAAGGTCCTAGGTTCAAACCCATATTTATTCTCTTTCTCTCTCCCCCCTCCCTCTCTTCCTCCCTCCCACCCTCCCTTTCCTCCCCTCCCCTCCCTCTCTCCAGTCTCCCTGTAGCCACAGTTGATCTGGGACTTGCTCTGTAGACCAGACTGGCCTCAATCTCACAGAGGTCCTCCTGCTTCCACCTCCCAAGCGCTGGGTGTGTGCCACCATGCTGACATTTACTTCTTTTTCTCTCTAGTCTATGAGTTCCTTCAGGGTTGGAACATGTCTTATGTGCAGTTCCTGACACAGGACTTGAAAACAGTTCTTGTTTATATAGCACAATTTAGTAAAGAGTGGAGGCAAGAAAGCACACGGGCCACCAGCACCAGCGGATTCCCGTCAAATATATTAATTTCCTTTAGAGAAATACATTTCTTGCCCTACTGTTGGCAAAACTTACCTTTTACTTTGTGTGATCTCATTGCATTTCTTTGAGACGGGGTTTCACTATGTAACCATGGCAGGACTGGATCTCAGTGTAATCAGGCTGGCCTTTAATGCACAGAGATCTGCCTGCCTCTGCCTCTTGAGTGGTTTTTGTTTTTTGTTTACTGTATGTATTGATGAGGGTGTGGGAATGGAGGTCAGAGGACAACTTGCAGGTGTCCACTCTCTCCTTTCATCATGTGTCCCTAAATCATTTGGCTTGGTAAGCAAGTGGCTTTATCTGCTGAGCCATCTCTAATTGTTTTAAATCCTTGATGAGTTATTCTGGGTACCTGGCAAGTGATCAGGCTATCAGGAAATGATCAGTAAACACAGTGAACCCAGCTTCCAGGGTCCCAGCTTTGCCAGCTGGTGACAGACTGCTGCACCTGAGGCAGGAACACAGATCAAAGGTGAGGATCCAAGTCTTCCACCTTTTCAGGGGGAGCTTCTGCCTTGGCCCTCCCCTCCAGGCTCCAGCTAGTATCTTCTCCTAGGGAGGTTTCCTCTGACATCTGCCAGGCCCTCTCCTATGGGAACACTTCTGCCAAGCATCCTCTCTCCTGTTGTGATGATTAATATTGACAGCATCTAAAATTACCTGAGACATGCCTCTGGCCATGTCTGGAATTATGTAGAATAGGTTAACTGAGGTGGGAGGACCCTGCCCTAAATGTGGGATGTGTAAAAGAGAAAGCCAGTGGAGCACAAGTGTTTACAGCAGTCTGCTTTTGGCTTGGGGATGCAATAGGCCCAGCCGTCTCAGACTCCTGTGTTGTGACTTCCCCATTGTGATGGACTGTACCCTTAGACTAAGCCCCAAAGCCTCTTCTTCAAGGTGTTTTTGTTAGGCATTTTGTTGCTGCAACAAGACAAGAAACTAAGACACCTCCTCATAGGACACTTCTGCCCTTCCCCTCTGGAGAGTCTCCTTCCCAGGTCCTTTCCCAAGGGGACACTTCCCGTGTGTGTGTGTGTGTGTGTGTGTGTGTATCTGTCTGTCTGTCCAGGTCCTCTTCCATGGGCCCTCGGTATCCAGCATCCTTTCCCCATGTGGAACTGCCATCCCAGGTCTCCTCCCATGGAATACTTCTGCCTAGCATTCCTTCCTCCATCCCCTGGATGGAGACGCCTCTGACCAGTATCCCCTCTCTTTCCCCCAAAAGGAGCCTCGTTCCCAGACCCCCTCAGCATACAGCACTCTTTCTCCTGGTGGGAAGCCTCCATGCCCCTCTATTAGGGACCTTTTTTGCCTGGTAACCCTTCCTCCAGGGTGCGGGCTCTGCCCAAGGGACCCTCCCTCCATGGGGGCCTTCTGCTCAGGAATCCCCCTCCATGGAGGCCCTCTGCTCAGGGACCCTCCCTCCATGGAGGCCTTCCTCAGGAAGACCGTCTAGAAGGGAACCCTGGCGCCCCCTGTGGGTCCTTCGGCGCAGTATTACGCGCCCCGACTCCCGACGCCCGCAGAGGCCCCGCAGGCCCCCTCCTCACGCAAGCGCAAGACTTCCGCCGGCGCCCCCTTCCCTCAGGCGGGACTTCCGCCCACGCCCCCTCCCCCGCCGCGCGTCGTCCTCGGCTGGAGGCGACTCGGCGCAGCTCGCTCTCTCCGGGGGCGGCGCAGGGTTGGGGTCACGCGGGAAGGGGCGGCGGCCGGGCGGTGCGCACTGCGTCTGTAGGCCTGCGGTCGGGCCACGTCTCCGGTCCTCTCTCCCTTATCCGCCTCGTCAGGCTCGGCCGAGCGCAAGCGGTAAGATGGCGGCGCCCAGGCCGCTGTCCGCCCGGCTGTCGGGCGTCATGGTGCCGGCGCCCATCCAGGACCTGGAGGCCCTGCGTGCTCTCACGGCGCTTTTCAAGGAGCAGCGGAACCGGTAACCGCGCGGGGCGGGGAGCGGGCGGAGCCGCGCCGGTGGACAGGCCTGCGCTGGGGAGGCCCGGGGCCGCGGGCTCTGCTGGGGGTGGGGCCCTGCGCCGGTGGCCGGGAAGCCCCGTGCCTAGGCCGCGCTCTGCCTTAGGGGGGCAGTTCAGGCCTGCCTCTGCCATTGGGGCACGGGAGCCTGGCCGGTTTGGATCGGCTTAAGCATCAGGTCCAAGCCTTCGACTTCTGGCCTTAAAAATGGGGAATATGGTGCATAATTACCATGCTGAAATGAAGAGAAACGTACGGTTTCTGGTCTTTAAAAATTTTTTTATTTACTTTTTTTTTTTTTTTAATGTGTATGAGTCCTCTGCCTACATGCATGTAAATGCACCCATGTCATGCAGTGCCCACAGAGGTCAGAAGAGGCTATTGGAACTGGAGTTACAGACGGTCGTTAGCCGCCATGTGGATGCTGGGAATGGAACCCAGGTCATCTGCAAGAACAGTCAGTGTTCTTAACCGCTGAGCCATCTCTCCAGGCCCGGATTTCTGGCCTTAAAAATGGGGAAAATGGTACATAATCACTAACATGCTGAAATGAAGAGAAACATAGGGAAACATGTACATAAGTAGGTACCGTTTGGATTTTAATGTATTGTCTGGACCTCAGTTTCTTCTGCTCCTTGGAAATGATGTTGGATAGCATCTCCCTGGAGGAGGGGTGTGTGTGTGTGTGTGTGTGTGTGTGAATTTAATGAGGTAATACGTGTTACCTCCATAGGACCTGCTTGGCACCTAGTACTAAACAAGTATTGGCTAGCCTGGTCTCTTACCAGGTATTGTGCTGAGTTGCCCTTGTTCGCTCCTGTAGGGGGATAACATGCAATCCTGAGTGTACAAAAGAGCAGGACATGTAGTAGAAAGGACTTCTTAGGCTTGTGTAGGTTCAGTGGTCACTCGGAAGTGCTCCTTTCTTTAAACTAGGTACCTGATCCAAGCACTTCTCCCTCTCTAGTCACAAGAGTGGAGAAGCAGAAAGGGTGTTGGGTAGTTTCTTGGATTTCTGGATAGAATGTTAATTGATGTGGTACTGTTGGGAAATAATGTTGATTGATTTGGGCCTGTCTGTACATCCAGGACCCTCACCTTAGTCATCAACCATTTATTTCCTAACAAATCTTTTAGTAAACATTATTTTTATTTCATGTATATGAGTCTAATGCCTGCATGTATGTAAGTGCACCCATGTCATGCAGTGCCCACAGAGGCCAGAAAATGGTGTCGGATCTCTTGGAACTGGAGTAGGGATGGTTGTTAGCCCGCCATGTGGGTGCTGGAAACCGAACGTGGGTTCTCTGTGAGAGCAGCCGGTGCTCCTAACGACTGAGCATCTCCTCAGCCCCCTCATCAGCCATTTCTTGAGTACCTACTATGGGGTGGAAGATACAAAAATGAACATGTGACGTACTCCTCTGTATCAAGCATACTAGGGATTTTCTGTGTAAATATGTTCTAATAGAAGTCTACATGGGAAGAGGTGCAGCTTGGAGAACTGGTCTATCTGTAGGTTGGTGAGCCAGGAAAGGCTAAGTTCATTGGCAATACAAAGGTTGTGTAGGAAGAGCAGTATCTGTGAAGGGGCTGTATATTGATTTTGCAGACCTGCAGAGAGGATTAAACAAAACAACACAGATATGTCTGGCCAGGAGAGGCATTCAAACTTCAGTTGTCTTTACATAACTCAGCGTAAAAATTTGAGGCCATGAGCTCTTCTTTTTTTGGGAGGCGGGGCCAACGGGGACGAGGAGATGGGGTTGCCTGGTAGCCTTAGCTGGCCTGAAATCACTGTGTAGACCAGGTTGACCTCTGTCTCACAGAGATCCACCTGCTTCTGCCTGCTAGGTGCTGGATATTTGTGTGCCATCACACCCAGCCTGAGGCGCCATGCCCCACCTGAGCTTTCGACTTAGTCTACTGTGAAAGGATTATGAGAAACCATGATGCATTAGGAAGATCTTTCTGGTTGCCATTGTTGGGGATAAAAGAAAGACTAGAGAAGCTAGAGGCAGGGGATGGATGCTCAGAAGCTGTTGCAGAAATTCCAGTGAATACGTGCCTGAATTAGGTCATTGTGGGGATGGATAGGCTAACCATTAAAGAATTTGTAAGATTGAATAGACAGGACCAACTGAATTATCAGGGTGGGGTGCAGATGAGAATTCGTCCCAGGGTGTTCTGGAAACTCAGTTTCAGGCATTTCGGAGATCAGGAAAGGTGATTTGATGCTGGACTGGAGAGACACAGTTGTGTGGTGATGCAGAGAGTTCTTGATTCTTGTTTACACGGGTAGGCTTCTGATTCTGTTCTGTCACTTTGTTTTAATTAATGTGTACATGGGTATGTGAGTGTGTTCAGGTGCTGGCAGCATCCAAGAGGGCATTGGATCTCCTAGAGCTAGAGTTAAAGGGGTTTGTGAGCCATCTGATGTGGGTGCTGGCAGTGAACAAATGCTCCTCTACAAGAGCAGCAAGTGCTTTTGACCATCTTTTTGTATGTTTTTGGGCAAATCTTTAGGGGTCTTGTCTTTTGGCCCAGACTCCAGGTGTTCTGAGAGGATCCTTCCAGTCCTGACACTGTCAGGAATCCTTGGGAGATGTTTGTTCTTGGGAGTGAGGATGGCATCTCCTCTCTGGTTGGGCCTGGCACTGTGTCTAGCATGATCAGAAAAGCAAGTGGACCTGGGAGAGGATGGGTGAAGGTACCAGGTGCTGAATGAAGCACAAAGCAAAGCAAAATGAGCCTTCAGAGTAGCAAATAGGAAACAGGGACAGTGAGAAAATAACTGGGTGGCAAGTGACTGAGAACCCAGTTGTGTTTAATCTCTTGCTGCTATCAACAATTGAAGATGTTTCAAGAAGATAACATATTCTAATATTGACATTTCTAGAGAAAGGAATCCCTAGATCTCATTACAAATGAGAAGAAATTCTTAGGCACACTGTAAGCATTTTAATTTTATTTATTTGTGTTTTTAATGTGTATGGGTATGGGTCTCTCTTCCCTCGTGGGTCGTTGACCACTGATCCGTGAGAACAAAGGGAGCAGAAACGACAAACAGGGTCAGGGTCAGGATGGCCATGAGTACGATGGAAAGAACTTCCAGGAGTCAGTTTCAGTGAAACAGCTGTTTATTTAGGGGAGTTGGAGGGAATATGTAGGGTAAGGATGGCAGTCAAAGCTTTACCTGATAGGTGTTCATAGTACGCTTTATTTACATGTGGCAGGAGGACCTATCATGTAGAAGGGGGAGGGGGGATTGATTGGTTGTAGTGCAATGCCTAATTATCACACAGGAAACCAGGGGCAGCATTTGCAGGGAACTGTGTCAAAGGTTGTGTTCCAAATAAGGTCAGGCATCTGTGTTTGGAGACACTTTCCAAATAAGGTCAGGCAGAGAGTAGGAAGCCCCTGCTGAGAAAGGGAGTCCTCCATTTTGAGCCGAGCTTGGAGAGCTGTCCGGACATGGTGGACTATGACCTTAACGGCAGGGTCCCCCAACATCTCCCCCTGTTTTTTTTATAATGGAGAGGTGTCATCACAAGCTTTAAGAGCCAATTCATCTATATTGGGAGAATCCAAGGTCTGATAATGGATCATGACCTGATTGGCAGTAATTTTACCAATGGTGGTAATTTGTCCTCGAAGAAATTGTGTAAGGCAGGGAGCAAGCATCAAAATAACACATAGCATAATCAGGGGTTATCAAACCAACTTAATTGTTCAGTGGGCTGAAATATTGAAAGCAGGTCATTACGAAGTTTTTTGAGAGTATTAACGTTAGTCTCGACCAACATTTGACTCATTTACAAAAAAGCAGCATTCTATACAAGTCCCCCCATGTTCAGCAGTTATTAGGTCTAGTGCTCTTCTGTTTTGGAGCATGACCCCGGCAAGAGAGTTCATCTGTTGTTGGAGAGACTTCAAGGCTGTCAGTCGTGGATGCCATTGCCTTGTGAGCTTGTCTCAAAAGTCTCCTGCTAGGTGATGGGTCTGTACAATGGTGGCAGTCGCAGTGCCTCCAGCACCCAGGGAGAGGGCGAGTCCAAGTCCCACTAGCAGAGGGATGAAGACTTCTCTCTGTGGGCGGGTGTGAAGGAGGAGGGCAGCTTCTTCCTCCTCTAATAGGTACACCTGGGAGGTAATCATTATAGGTACGCAGAAGGTGGACAAGGAGGAGTTAATACAGGGCTGAGGGTTTCCTTTGCACCACAGAAAAGGAGGAGGGGCGACCATGCTGGCCTGGAAAGAGTAACGTTGGTGAGGCATTTGTAAGGAGTAGGCTTATTTCTACTGGAAATGCAAATTGGAGAGTTGGACAGCTGGTTGAATAAGGGAATATCTAACAGGTGAGAGTTGGTGAAGTTTTTTGTTGTCTTGGGGTAAAGAAGGATGGTATTAACCGGTACTGCTGTCAGCAAGGGTCTGCTGGATGCACAAAAGAAACAGGCGTTAGGGTGGGTGGTAAAGGGAAGGAAGTCAGCAACGCATTGAATATATTGGCTCCAAGATGTTGTTGATCTTATTTGTTCTGCTGTTTGTTTTTCCTGTAGAATAATGTTATGATGAGTTAGCATGGGCTTATCTCTGGGTACAGGCTGTCGAGAGATATAAAAATCAGTGGTAGGGTAGCTAGAGAATGTGGCTGGGTAGAACTTGCCTGTTATCCCAACATGCCAGTGATCGTGCCAAAGATCTGCAGCATATATCATGGAATAGTCATGATGTCCATAGAGATACTTATTATCTATCAGGTAGATGGGTCTTTTTTGTCCTGTTATGCCCTGACATCCCCCAGTCAATCCCTGTTCCAACCTGTAGGGATTGAAGTCACGGCAGGCCCCATAGGTATTGACATACTTGAGCCATGATGAATCTGTTTGTTGGGAAGGAAAGAAAACATATTCGTCCTTTTTGTATCCGCTAGCATTTGGGTATATTATAATTTCTGTG